TACCAAGAATGTTGATTGTAGAGCGAAGTAAACGAAAGCTGTCAACAATCATCCATCATGATGCTGCCAATCAGCCTAGTCATGACAATCTTTGCTTTCTTGATGTTGAGCTTTAATCCATATTGAAGGCTGCAGTTCTCGACCCTCTGTAGCAAGCACTTCAGGTCCTCTTCCTCAGTTTCAGCAAGCAGGGTTGTGTCATCTGTCTAATGCAGATTGTTGATGAATCTACCTCCAATCCTGATGCCACACTTCTCATAGAGACCAGACTCACAGATAATCTGTTCCGCATATAGACTGAAAATATATGGAGATAGGAAACATCCTTCATGCACACTTTTCCCAATTTTGAACCATGTAGTGTTTCCTTACAAGTATAAAATTTAGATTGTTGGATCAAATGGACTCTTAGGTCACTTGAAACTTTAACAGACATTGACAAAGATGGAAAAATGAAAAATTAAGTGATGACACTGTTGCAACAAGGCACTTAAATGATTATATGTGTATAATTATACTTTAAGAACATAAAACTGCCAAATTCTTGGGTGTGTCATATGGTGGACAATGTTTGGTGGAGGTCCCTGATTATATCAAGCTTTGAAGTAGGAGTTGCACCCACTTCTGAAATAGTTCTCTCCAGAGACCCTATGAACTTGGAAACATGATGAAAGATATACAAGTGTTATTTCGTTTATAGGGTCGCTATGAGTTGTCTACAACACAGTGGCACTTAACACAAAATATATATACATATGGCGTTATTGTGTTGTCTTTCTATAGCTATTTATGGGTGTATGAGCTTTAATTATAAAGTATCTAACAAGGATAGCAAAAGGATTGAAATAGTCAACAATCTCTTCTTACTTGGATCCACAATCAACATCCATAGTACCAGTAGTCAGGAGATTAGGAGATGGATTGCATTGGGCCAGTTTGCTATCAGGGACCTCACCAAATTACTGAGGAGCAATAATGTGAGCTTGAAGGTTAAGGTAGTCTGATTCAGATCACTGTCTTTTCAGTCATTCACTATGATTCTGTACATTGGATAATGACAAAGGATGTAAGAATAAGAATTGACATCTTTGAGCTGTAGTATTGGAGAAGAGTACTTAATATTTCATGGACTGACAAAAGTATAAATAGATATGTCTTGGAGAAAGTGGAATCAGAATGCTTCTTGGAGGCAAAGATGACAAAGATTCATCTCATATACTTTGGGCATATTGCCAGGAAAGGTTATTCCTTAGAGAGGGATATCATGCTTAGACAGGTGAAGGGTCAGCGAAAGAGAAGACTTAAGTTTGATTGACATGGTGACTGCAGCAATCGGCTCAATTATGTCAGAGATTATGAGGTTAATATAGGCAAGGACAGGGAAAGGCTGCTGTTAGGGACCTTCCAAAGTTCTGAAGAGCAATGGTGTCTCTCTGGAGACTAAGGTGTGTCTAATACAGACCATTGTCTTTGCTATCACTTGTTATGCATCAGAGAGTTAGACAATGACTAGGGAGGATAGAAGGAGAATTGATGTCTTTGAGCTGTGGTGCTGGAGAAAAGTATTGCGGGTACCATGGATTGCTAGGAAAACAAACAGATTCATCCTGGAAAGGGTAACCGGGTGGCTCCTTGGAGGCAAGGATTCTGAGCCTCCATCTAACATACTTTGGACATGTTGTAAGGAGGGACTGGTCCTTGGAGAGGGACATCATGCTTGGTAGGGTGGAGGGACAGCACAGGAGGGGAAGGCCCCCTGTGAGGTGGATTGACTCAGTGACTGGGGTCATCGGGATGAGTGTGTTGGAGACAGTGCGATTGGCACAAGACAGAGCAGAGTTTGGGGCTGTTGTACATAGGGTCATTATGAGTCGCAAGCGACTCGGCAGCACAGAACAACAACAAAATGAGTTGTACTTGACTTGACAGTACCTCACAACAAGACAACCCGTCAGTACCCAAATATAAAACCACTATCCCATACAATTCATAGTACCTAAATACAAAACCTCTACACCTTAGAACACATAGGCCTGTCTTTGGAGAGAGTGAAACCAAGCTATTCCTTGGAGGCAAGGATTTTGAGACTCTGTCTCAAATATTTTCGGCATGTAGCCAGCAGAGCCACTGTTTGGAGAAGGATATCATGTTTGGAAGGATGGAAGGCCTGGTTGAGAGGGATTGACACAACTGGGATAATGAGGGTAGGTGTGTCAGAGATAGTGAGAGTCTCTTAGGCTAGAGAAGCATTCAGAGTTATGGTGCAAAGGATCATTATGAGTCATAGTCGACCCAATGGCACCTACTAACAACAACAATAATACCCTGGAATTAGAGTGGAAGAGATTTTAGAACACATCACCTCTGCAAATTGCAGTAAAGAAGGAAGGGCTAAAAACCTAAGTATATTTGGAAATTAGAAACAAAATATGGCTGAGTGTTTGTTAAAGACCAACATGTGCCAATCACATTTTTTAGAACAACTATTCACAACATAGAGATACGTTATGTTTGAAAAGCCTGAAGTGAATCTGAAATTTGAATGAGCATCAAAATCACTTGGAAGACTTGTTTAACAGATACTCCTGGGCTCCACCCCCATAGTTTCTGATTCAGTAGGTCTGGGACAGGGCCCCAAGGATTTGCATTTCTAACAAGGTCCCAGTGTTGCTGATGTGGCTGGTATTGCCTCCACATTTTGAAGACTTCTGTCCTACGCTAATCCACTGTTTCATTTTATCAACTCATATCTGTAGTAAAACAGGACAGATATTGTTATCCTTGCTTCACAAACAGGACATTTAGTTACCAAGGGACATTAAATAACTTACCCAAAATAAAAAATCAAGTGGCTCTTAAGAGGCAGAATTAGGACTGGGATCCAGATTTCTCCTCATCTCTTCAATGTAAGCTCTCTTCCAGGTAAGGAGTGTGACTCATCCTACCCACTCACCTACTTGGGGAGTCATTTGCCTTTCTTTCAATGCCAGAAGCCTCACCCACTCGTAGCTGACTAGCATTTTCTTCTGCTAGAAGACCCAAAAAAACTGTATATGAGAAGTTTTCTCTGTTTTCCATTCTTTAGAGCTACTCATGCTGGCCCTATTTTTTTGTCTCCTGCCCCCAGGTGAACTTGTTAAAAGACAAAGCAATACAGCAACCTACTGTTTTGAGGATCTTTTAAACAAAACTGGCTGTTGTTCTCAGAGCACTGCTCTGCAAATCTCTCACAAGAGATTGTCCACAACATTGACTTAGATGACAAGGAGATAAGGAGATCACTAAACTTCATAGGATATCTTCTAACATTGGGTAGCCCTAGTGGTTGTACACGGAGCTTTGGAGACCTAGTGGTAAGAAGCTGGGAGTTTAAATCCATGGTCTTAGGGGCAAGATGTGAAATCTCCTCCCCTGCCATTTACTGCCTTTGGAAACCTTCTGGAGAGTAAACTGTGAGTCATTTCTGACTCAAAGGCACATTACAAGAACTGGTTGGATGGTGTATCTTGTAACATTAAAAATCATCTTTCTACTGGCTAATAGAAATAATCTGCCTGCTTATAACACAAAGGATCTGTGAGAAATTCGACTCTGACTCTAACTCACAGAAGCTGATTGACATACAGAAGGGTTAGAAGTCGAGACTTTGGTTGATCCTCCTGAGTTCGGATCCTTTACTTAACAAATTGCAAGTCTTTTCACAAACTTTAAATATTTTCCTTAAGTTTTCTTTTCTTTTTGAAGACTAAAATTAAAGAAATAAAGCCAGAAAAAGCAGAGGTCTGTGTGTGGCACAAATTGTGCAGATTAAATGAGATCATCTGCGTAAAGAGCTTAGCAAAGAGTCTGGCACATAGTATAATAAGTCCTCTGTGTTAGCTATTTCCGTTAGAGGTGATCCAGAATTGATAGATGGAATTATTTCTTGCTTTATTTCCCCTCTTTAATTAGCAATTTCTAGCTCTGGTGGCTTAGTGGTAAGACGCTGCGCTGCAATGCTAAAGGTCCGCAGTTCGAATCCACCAGCTCCTCTCCCTCTCGGCTTAATCCCCTCTGAAAACCGGCTGGAGGGTCAACTATGGGTCGGTCCGACTCAACGGCACACAACAACAACAACAATCTAATATTTGCTTGTAATTCACTTTCCACCCCCCCCACTTTCACTCCCCTTCCTTCTGTCTAGAATCTAAACTCCAGGAAGTCAAGGATTTTCTTCAGCTTGTATATTACATCTGTATTACCTGCAACAGAGCCGACTTTTAAAAGATACCCAAAATCCATGTGAATAGAAAAACCCTGCCTAAACAGAAAAAAAACCCCACAAACCCACCAAAAATACCCCAAAACGCAGAAACCAAAGAACCAATCCACCTTGTTGACAAATTGTACCTTTCCCCTCATTGCAAGAAATTCTGATTGCCTGAGTGAGGGTAGAGAGAGAGAGTTGTTGCTTTTAAGTGCCATTGAGCCGTAGGCGACTCATAGCGACCCTATGAACGAAAGTCCTTGTCAACAGGGAGAGTGTTGTGGTTGTTGTTATGTGCCGTCGAGTCGCTTGCGACTCATAGCGACCCTATGTACAACAGCCCTAAACTCTGCTCTGTGCTGTGCCAGTCTCACCATCTCCGATACACCCATCCCGATTACCCCAACCACTGAATCAATCCACCTCATAGGGGGTCTTCCCCTCCTGCGCTGTCCCTCCACCCTACCAAGCCTGATGTCCCTCTCCAAGGACCTGTCCCTCCTTGCAACATGTCCAAAGTATGTTATTTAATTCGCTTAGAAGTGTCTGTAACACGGACTGGAGAAGCTCTATGGGTGCAGAAAACTACAAGTTCCAACGTGCTTTGCGCATAGCGGACGGAAAGCCGGACCTTCCGGTCCACGCAGCAGTTCTGCCGCCGCGTTCCGACGTGTCACCGGCGGCGCCGCTGCTGTGGCAAGGGAAGGATCCGACTGGGAGAGTTTGAGGCGGCGGCCGGTGGCAACGACCCCGGCCTGGACCTGCCCCAGCACGGAAGTGCTCCGGGGTCCGTGGGGAGTAGGATAGGCAGTTGGCGGAGCGGCCTTCGCGCGCCACGATGCTGAACATGTGGAAGGTGCGGGAGCTGGTGGACAAAGCGTGAGTATCAGGGGGGCAGTTGTAGCTGAGGCCCACACTGGGAAGGGCAGTGTGAAGGGGGAGACTGGCCCTGAGTGTGGGGCAGCTCGCGTCACGCCCCCCGGTTCGGCCAGCCGCATCATGGCGGCGAACGTCTCCGTTTGGCCCGGGGCCTCGTCCCGATCGGCAAGGCTAAGAAGGGACCCTCGTTAGCTTCAGAACATCTCTTCACCCCCTTTGCGCCTATCCAGACCTGCTGGCCCGTGCTCCCACCCCTTTTCCATCCCTTAACGCAGACAGGACTGTTGAGGGCTTGGTCAGTGCCCTGGCTGGGGACTCCTTGACTCCAGAACTGTGGGCTTTGCCTCTTGGGTAGCTGGCAAAGCTTGAGGTTTGGGGAGACTTCGTACTGGACCTCTGTCCTTAAAGGATGTGATGTGGAAACTTTAAGCCTTCTTGGAGTATGTGCTTTAGCGTACTCTCATTCCAAATGCACCTGGAGTTGTTGGAGTGGGTGGTAGGTGTAACAAGTGGCCTGTGTGGTCAGGCTGAAGTTTACTGGAGAGGAGGACTCAACCTTGACTTTTCTAACAATAGTGAAAGTAGATCACTATATAACTTACTGGGATTTCATTTCTGTTTCCTTTCCCATTATATGTCATTATTGTTGGACCATTTAGCCCGTTTCGTTTAATTAGGGAGTCATCACGAAATTTCCCATAAAGGAGAATACAGCCCAGTTTTAGATGTATTGATATTTGTCCGACAGGTAAACCAACTAATAGTTAGTACTTAAAAACATAAGTTTTAACTCTAGTGCTGTAGTGCACTAGGAAAATATTAACACTTAACTTGAGTAAATGAGATATAACAGTGGTTAAGTAAGATAGTCTAGGTCAGCAGGAAATGAAGTGTAAGAATTTAACCAGTCTCCTTCCTTTTAGGCTTTAGTGATTGATTACAAAATAAGAGTGGTGAGGAAAACAGTTCATTTGTGCCACCCAGCTGACTTAAAATCTCACCAACTTGAGCTTTTCTTGACACTAAAAAAGAAAATAATTTACAGTGGATTGAATAATGAATGCATCAAATAGAATTTAAGACTTGGCCTTTATGGTACAATTGTCTATGCTGCCAAAGTGGCTATTATAGAGCCTGTGGTTTCAGAACCTGCAATACTTGGTTAATGCACCATAACCTTGGGCCTTGCAGTGTTCCAGTTTCTTCAGGCACAGGATGAAAAGAACAACAAATGCCTACCTTAAAATGCTGTGAATGGTTAAAGACTAAGGTCGTATGTCAGGTTGTTGTTTCATGTTAGGTGCTTTGGAATCAAGTCCAACTCATAGTGACCCTCTGAACAAAAGATCTAACCCTGTTTGATCCTGTGCCATTCTCATACTTCCTGGCAGTTTGAGAATGGCACAGGATCAAACAGGGTTCAGATCTTTTGATAATCACAACAGATGTTGTGGCATTGTGAGTTAGATAAACTTCCCTAAGAGAAAGAATCTGTATTTAGAAAGTAATTTACTTGAGTAGTTTTTCTTTCTCACCTATTTGTGTGAGCATTCAGAGCCTCAGTTATTTATTTTATACTTATTTTGCTATTTATTGACTCTGCTTTTGATTACCAAGGTAAAGCTTTTTTCTTTAAAAAAAAAAAAAAACAAACCCAAAACCAGATTCATTGATTGTTTTTAAATACATTGTGTTAAGACTAGGCTGTCAACTTAAATATCTTTTAAAAGTCTAAAAGGAGATGCAACTATCTCTTCTGTTCTAAGCTAGAGGACAGCAGGAGGGGAAACTACTAAGAAGCACTTAAAGGCCTAAATTTATACTATCAGTAATGTGGAAGGTCTGTAAAAAAAATTTAGGATCCCTACTATTGGGTGAATTAAGCAATTAAGTCCAAAATATGTGGACTGCTGATAGAAAATTTGAATTTTCACATCTGTTGCATAGGAAAGAGATGTGGTAGTATGCTTCTATAAAATCTACAACCTTGCACACCTTAAGGGATAGTTATACTTAACGCTGTCCTATATAAGATAAAGTCACTGTGAATCAGAATCGACTCCTCAGCAATGGAATTTTTTTTTAGTGATACATTTGTTTTTCCATACTTGTTTGTTTCTGTTACCCTAAGTTGTTCATTTTCAGACGTTTCAGGTTGAACTTGGTACATGTCAATATCAAGTCATTTAATGAAGGAGCAATTGTTTAAAAGGGTTTTCTAGTTTCTTTTTTACTACTGCAGTTTAGAATGGAAACTTCAACCACTTTATGCAAGAACATGTAAGAATGTTGCTACCAAGAATTCTTTAAAGCTTTTGCGGGTATCTGACATAAGATATTAAGATTAGAACATGAAGTTATAGTACTTGGGATTTAATTTTCATCTTTTAGTAACTGGAAGAGAAGGAATTCTTCCTAAAAATGTAAGCATTCTATAGAACCATGTCCCTTTTACACTGTGCCCAGTTAGACTATGCACGGAAAAATGTTACGCTGGAGGTAAAGCAGATGCATTGAATTGTCAGAGGGTTCTTTAGGTAGAGGACGGGAATTTAGAATTCTGGATTTACATACTGATCCTACCTTGACTGCTGTGTATGGTTTGAGACTGAATCATCTAAGTTTCCAGACCTTAGGTTCCTTATCTGTAAATTAAAGGAATTGGTCTTTTTTCACCATTAGTGATTATTTGAAGAAGTGTGTTTTCATCAAGCAGGGACAATTTGCCACTAAGAGTTTATAATAGCAGTTATATTTTGGAGTCCTTCCTCTCCAAAAGAGCCTGAAAAGAGAAATTTAGAAAATGTATTGATGTAGTAATCAATAAATGTTATATTTATATGCTTTGTGTAGTAAATAAGTGCAACTCATGACTCAGGAAAATTAGGACTTCCAGATCTTTTTATTCAGAAAGAAAAAGACTGCTAAAATATGTTCCCTGGAAGAACTACTTTTAGATCTAGTATAATGGCAGTTCTTTTTCTTAATTTTTTTAAAAAAATGTTTTACTGTGTTTTAAGTGAAAGTTTACACAACAAATTAACACTCAAAAATTCATACACAAATTCTTCTGTGACCTTGTAAACAGTTCTTAAGTATACTGGTATTTTATTTTAAATCATTGTTTTTGAGACCTTGAGTTTTCTGGAAGCAGGGGTAACTTTCCAAATTTATTACGCCTCTTAGTATAAAATGGATCTACTTTGGAGAACAGTATAAAACTGAGGGAAAGCTGATAAACCATAGGCCAGCTGGAGCTTAGAATGTCAGTTTCCTCCTATTCCTAGGCAAGTGGCTGAAGAAGCCACTGTGATGGCAAAGGGTAAGTGACACCATTTCCACCAACTAGTACTAGCTTGACCACTGTCATCTTATAACCTCCCTTTCTCTCTTTAAAATAATAAAGTAACATACATTTATTTTTTTCATTGTTTAGATGGAAATGTTGCTTAAGTTCTGTTAAATTATCTCTTCCAAATTTGAGAAATAGTAGTGTGACATGGCATACCAGAACTACTTATTGTTGTTATTATTCCTACATTGTCATTTCAGGGCGTAATATTAATGATAAAATTATTTCATCAGTAACCTTTGCTATTTTATGATAGTAACTCAGCCGTCTTTTACTGAGGTCTTGAGGCAACCTCTTTAGATATGCTAAGTTGCTTTTTAAATGTAGCTTGCTTTTTCTTCCAATAAACTCATTTTTGTGGTATTTACTTGTTTTTTATTCCTAAATAATTGTTGTTATGTGCCATTGAGTCACCTGCAACTCATAGCAACTCCATGTACAACAGCTCTGAAGTCTGCCCTGCCCTGGGCCAGTCTCACTGACTCTGACATACCTACTCCCTTTGCCCCAGTTACTGTGTTAATCCATCTCATCAGAGTCTTCCTCTCCTGTGCTGTTCCACCACCCTAAATAATTAGATAATGTAAAAAACAGTAGAAACTTGACCTCTACCCCAGAGAAGAATGTCTTTCTTTAAAAGAGTTCGTTCAATTCTTTCAACAGATAATATATTTATTTCTTAATAGTTTAGTGTTGTATCCTCTGAGTTTGAAAAGTATTAGGCTCACATACGTTGGACATATTATCAGGAGAACATAGCCTCTGAAGAAAGACATCTTCGTCTAGAAAATAGAGTGTCAGTGAAAGAGAGAAAGCCCCTCAGCAGGAACAGGTGACACAGGACTGAAACGAAGGGCCTGAGCACAGAGGTGATTATGAGGATGGTGCAGAATCAAGCACGGTTTTAGTCTCTTGTGCACAGATTTGTTATGAGTCAGACTGCTAGGGAATCGATTCATGGCTCCTAATACCACCACCCTCAAGAAATTTGCCACTACAAATATGCATTAAAGGGACAATTTATCAGTTATTTCCGTCATCAGATGGTTTCCCCTTTTATTTTCCCTATCTTACCAGGAAATCTCTGTTCAGTTTGCTTCTTAGAACTTAAAAGCGAAGATGATTAAGTCAGCAATCTAGTCAACTTTTTTTTTGAACCAGTTGTTGGTGTTTTGTTATTTCCACTGAAATAGTGAATTATTTTCTCTCTCTTCTAGTAACTGGACAAGTAGAAGTTAAAAATTTAATCCCAAAGCAAGACGAGTTTAATGTATCTGTTGCCAGGATTTTTAAAGGGTCATTTTCAGTAGTTTAGTTTGCTTATCACTATAGTTAAAGTGCTTTTAAAAAAGTACTTAATACCTCTTACGTTTTCCCTGTACCCTTTAGTGTTAGCTTACAAGTAGTCTTTTTTATCTAGTTACTGATTTGTCCACTCAAAGTACTTTTTAAATTTTAAGTGTCACTTACTTATATGACTTCTAGTTTTTGACAGTAAGACTCCTCATTTGAATCATCTAACTTTTTCTATATTATTATTTTCCAGTTTATTTCCTATATTTAATACTTTAAGAGAAAAATAGTATAGGCAGTTTAAATAACTTAAAATTTCTAAAAGCTATATTGTTTTATCTTTGCATTTAGATAT